CCCGCCCCGGGGCCACCATCAACGCGGAGAGCTTGACCCCGCACAGCGCGCAGCGACGGTCGGCCGCCCGCCCGCGTTCCAGGCACAGTTTGCAAAAGGTGTGGCCGCAAGACAAGGACACGGGGTCTGAGAGAAACCCGTGGCACTTCCGGCACTTGAAGCCGTCCCACACCTCGGTGGCCTCAGCGGCCGTGGCCGCCCCAGCCTCTTCCGCCGCCGCCGCGCGGCTGGCCGCGCTGCTCCTGTCCGCGGGCGCCGGCGCCTTGCCCGGCCGGACGTTCTCCGCCAAGCAGCGCACCAGCTGCTCCAGCTGCTCTGCCACCAGCTGCTGCCTCTCCGAGAGCTGTCGGTACACCTCGAGGGCTTCCCGCAGGCGCCCCCCGGACGCCAGGGCGTCGGCCTTTGTGAGCAGGACTTTGCACTCCGGCGTCGGCGTCGAGGCCCGCAGGGGCTGCTCGCGCTCGGGCTCCCGCGTCGACGGAGGTGCGGAGCCTTCGGTAGCCGCCTCTGGGTGGGGGCCAGAGTCTACGCTGGCCTCCGCTGCCGCCGGTTCCTTCCGCTCCGCCAGCTCTAAGTTGTTGCTGCCGAGCTCTGCGAGCAGGCTCAGCATCTGTCCGGTCTGAAATGCATCCATAGGGAGAGGACCCGCGCGGGCAGAGGCGTCTAGGGACCGGGGAGCCGGGGCTGGGAGCGGCGGCTGGAGGGAGTCCGGGCTGCCACCGCCGCCGAGCCGCCGCGCGCAGATCCCCGCCGCGCCTCCGCGAGCTCCATGCCGGCCGCCCCGCGCCGCCTAATAACTGTCTTGTCTCAGCAAAGTGTTATATAAAAGGCCACCACGTGACGCGCCGCCACGCCGCTCATTGGCCGGCGGCGGGGAAATTGTTACAAAACCAGACAGTTTTGTAACAGTGTTGCGCTTGCTTCTTTTGGCTTTGCTTTTCTTGGCTTCTTTTTGAGGTTGTTTGTGTTTACACTCCGCCTTATTTCCCCTTCGCTATGTGGTTCCTTTTCCGAAGAGGAGGAGGGAAAACAAAACCGAAGTCTTCTCTCGGGCTTTTCCGTCTCCAAACCCTACCCCATCCCATTCCAAACCCGCCAGCAAACAGGTCCCCTCTGCCAGCCGCTCGCTGGCGGTCCCCGCCCCCATTTCTCCCCGGAGAGGCAGGCACCTCGGGTACGCAGTCTGCCAGGTCTTTGGGGACGGCTAAGGCTCACTCTCCTCGAGGCGACGGCTGCTGTCTGCCAAGGGAGCGGGGTTGAGAGGGTCCCCGGCAAGACTTAAGCTCCCGATCCCGGTCTCGCTAGCGAGCCCTGGGAACTCTGTCCCGGTTACTCACACTCGGGGGTCCCTGATCACCTTCCCCAAGGAATCCCTAACGGAGTGAGTGCGGTTGTCCTCGGCCGCTTGGTCTCGTGCGCCTGGAACGGCTCGGAGCGGCGGGCCAGCGGGCACAGAAGTTGGGTGGCGCTCGCTGAGTGGCGAGGGACGCGCAGAGAAGATGCGCTCCTCAGCTCGCGCGCCTGGAGGCGCCCCGCGTGCTCCGCTCCTCAGCACGCTCTCCCCCAACCCCAGATCCTGAGCTGGGGCAGGCGGCCCGCGTGGGGCTGGAGTCGCGCCCGCCCTGATGGGCGCAGCAGCGAGAACTTGGCGAGCTGGGCTCAGTGGGTACTCTGCGGGCGTGGAAGAACCACAGACGGAAGATGGAGACCCAGCGCGTTACGCCGAAGAAAGTCCCCGAGACCCGCTGCAGTTCAGGGGCCGGTGGAGCTGCCTTCAGGGCCCGGGCCCCAGAGCACTCAGTTCTGACAAAGGCGCACGCGTCACAGTGGGGGGCAGCGTGACAGGGCTGAGACTGGGCACGAGCTGTGTGCCTGATTCAAAGGCTAGGGAGCCTCCAGGGTGCTCCTCACTCCACCAGAAGGCTACTGTGAACTGCCCACGCTTTGTCTCCCTTCCACCCCCACACTTCGGACGGGAATCGCCGAGCCTTAGAGACCTAAAGGAATCACGCACTTCTCCCACCGTCACGCTGCTCTGAGCACGGAGGCGGGGTCTGGGCTTGCTCAGCTCTGTAGGCTTCCAGAGCCCGCAGGCTATGGCCCTTGCCAGGAGCAGTGCCCGAGGCAGAGCGCCACCCCAGGGACTGGAGACTTACACTTGGCTCATGCTGTGACCATTTCTTAGCTGAATGACCTTGGGCAAGTGACCCAAACTCTGGGAGCCATTCTTTTGGCTTCTGAACAAACAAGTGTCAGGTGTGATCAAGTCGGGTTTCGGAGCTAAAGATCACAGGTTCCCTCTGCCTGGAGTCATCACCAAGGCCCCAGAGCACCAGCACAACAAAGGGATGCCTAGAGCCTCCTCTGGTGAGACAGCACAAGGAAGAGGAGTTCAGAGGGGTGAGGGGAAGTTGGCTTAAGGAGATAGAGAGCAGGAAAAGGCACAGGAACTCAAGATGTAGCCAGGGAGGTGTAAAGCACACACAGGAAAGCTTGGCTGGCAGCATTGGCTTTGTCATTGCTTGCTGTGAGACCTTGGACAAGTCCTTTAAGGAGGCCCAGGTTTGTCCTGCTCTCCAAACTTCTGTCAAACCCTAACCTTGAGTGACCAGATTTCATGACACCAACTCCATTTAGGTAAGTACAAGAGACTCGTCTGGATGCCATGTGTGGTATTTTGGAAAGGGGTGAAGCCAGCAGCTGTAGTGGAAGGACAGGGCCAGCTAGCAGACAGTCATCCTGTTTCTTGGGGTCAGGTCTTAGCTAGATTGTGCTGACAGGGAAGTCAGGGGATTGGTCAAGAGCTCGAGTAAATGCCTATGCCAGGCAGCTGAGGACAAACTGGGGCTCGTGCTGCCCAAGGAGAGCTCCTTTTACCACCAAGTTTCCCCTGATCTTGAATGGGGGGGTCTTAGTCCATTTGGGCTACTGTAAGAAAGTACCATAGACTAGGCAGCTTACAAACAACAGAAATTATTTTCTTACAGTTCTGGAGGTTGGAAGTCCAAGACAAAGGCTTCGTGTCTGCGAGGGTCAGAGTCCTGGTTCCCAGACAGGTGTTTTCTTGCTATGTCTCTGGAGGAGGGAGGAGGAGAGGGTCTTTTTTATATGGATACTAATTCCATTCACCTCCCAAAGGTAGACACCACCTTTTCAGATGCAGCTATTCCCTTAAAGGGTAAATTCTTCAGGGTCCTCCCTGGTAGCGCAGCAGCTTAAAGCACAGCACAGAGAACCTAAAGCCACTTCAGCATGAGTTTGATCCCCAGTCCTGGAGGTGATCCACGTGGTGTGGCAAACTTCTCCTGACCCACCGGCTTCTCCCCTCAGCAGTGTACTTCGTCCATCTGCCTGTTCTGCTCCCTACTCTGTCTCTGGTGAATCCTCTCACCACCCCTGAACCTCTGGTCTGTATCCCAGTTCTGTATGCATAAATAAACCTTTTTTTTTTTTTTAAAAAAGGTAGATTACTCAAAGTTCCATTTACTTTGCTAGGATCACTACTTTATGGCTAAGGTGACCCAAGTGCCATCACACTGGAGAGTAGCTTTCAACATCTACATGGGCGGGGGTGGGGGAGACAGGGAGTCTTACAACAAGGTCCCCAGTATTAACTATCAGCTTGCCTCTTGGGGGATGTGTGAGGAGCCATGTAGGGCCGGTAGAGAGATGTATATGAAACAATCATGAGATGCTTCATGATGAAAACATCTGAATTCAAGAGCTTTATCCCTTTGACAAATTTTAAAATAGAGGTCTGTAACCCAAACTTGTCTTCCAAGATACCGATTGGGATAAGCCCTGTTCCTGAGAACATTTGGACAAGTAAGTATCCCCTGAGTTGGTTGCACTCCCTTGCCCATTGGGGGATGGAACAGCAAGGATAAGGCCAAGTCAGGTAGAGGGTGTTGCAGAGGGTCTTGTCCTGGTGGCGTGGCACAGAGATGTGCTGTGCAGCGCTCCTCTGGAGTGTGTGTAGCCACAGTGGCTGTGAACTTGGTTAAGAATGTAAATAGTTGCCAGGGTGATGTAGCACCATCTACTCACTGACCAGACCCTAGAGGAGTTTCACATCATATTTTCAAGTCAGAACAGCCTTGTGGGATAACACTGCTGAAGTGGTTTGCTATAGTTCTTTATTTTTTTAAACTGCTTTAATTTTTATGGAAAAGAATTTGTATTTTTTTAAGGTAACTCTGGTTTACAATGTTGCATATGATTCAGAGAGGTAGGTTCATACCTGTTCAGGTGTATGTTATCATATCATACCCACTAGCAAGGTATCCATAGTCCTCCACCTAAGCCCCCCGCCCCTTTTGTTCTCTATTCTTTCCCACCTCTCTGGTAGCTTCAAATCTACATTCAGATGTCAAGGTTTTGTTTTGGTTTACTTTGTGTAACCCTTTGCTTTGTGTCTCTGTTGCACATGAGTGAAATCATCCGCTATTTGTCTTTGTCTTGACTTACTTCATTTAGCATAATGGCTTCCAGTGCCATTCATGTTTTCTCCACTAAACTTACAAACATTATATTCATATACATTTGTGGACCAAATCCGAAATCTATGCAAAACTCCTTCCCCCCTGACTTTACTAATTAGAGCTCATGAGGATTGGGGAAAGGCTGACACCACCTTTTCAGATGCAGCTCTTCCCTTAAAGGGTGGGTTCTGGTCCTCTCCTTGGTGTTGCAACGGGTTAAAGCACCACACTAGGAGGCTCTCCGAAGCCACTGCAGCATGAGTTCGATCCTCAACCAAGGAGCTGACCCACATAGCATGGTAGACCTCTTCTGTCTCGCCCACTGCTCCCCTCAGCAGTATACTTGGTTGGTCTGCCTGTTCTGCTCCCCACTCTGTCTCTGGTGAAGCCTCTCATGTCCCACCTCTGGTCTGTACCCCAGTTCTGTATTAAAAAAAAAAGATGGAATCTTCAAAGCTCTATTTATTTTGCTGGGATTACTACTGTGCAGCTAAGGTGACCCAGGGAGAAAGTACACAAGTTGGTAAGATTTCCAGTTGACTACAGCAAGTTTTCCACTGGGCTCTGAGGAACCTCTCTGGAGCACAGAGGGGAGAGCAGGCAGGACTCAACCCCAGCTCCCTCAACCAGGCAGCGCTGCCTCCATGTCACAGAGAAGTCTTCATGGGCACAATTTCACCAACAAAAGGCTTGCTGTTGTTTTTAAGAAGTTTGGAAACCGTGGCAATTTTCAGCTCTGTTAGCATATTTGTTTAGCATCTCTGGAGCAGGCACTGTCTCAGGCACTGGAGCTGTGTCTCAGGCACAGAGCACTGAGCTCCTGGGGTAGCAACGCACAACTCTCCCTAAGTGTTCTTGTTCGGGCTTGCCAGAGAACTGGAAGCTCCATGAGGCAAGGACTAGTGTTCTGTGTCTCTCCTTTCCTCCTCAGAGGACAGTATTTGAACAGAACTTAATGAATATGGCAGTGCATATTGTGTCCTGGATGGGACAGAGGGACAAGAGGAAACCCAGCTGGGATCTCATCCACAGAGAGGGGGCATGCTGTTAATTAAGGGTTGCTAGTCCCATAATTGGGAAGGGCTGCTCTGGGGTGGGAGAATCCATCCAAACCAGGAGTCTGGTGTGCAGAGTGAGCATCTCTTCACACACACACACACACACACACACACACACAGAGGCCATGGAAACACAGCCAAAACAGTTATTTGCTCTATACGTGAATTTTTCATTTTACAAACTGGGAGTGACTCATCCACTA